CTTTTCTGTAAAATGGAGCCAAACGCAGCTGCCTCAAGAGATGGTGGCTAGGAATAACAGTGTTCGAAAACAATCCTATACAGGTAGGAGTAACTCTGGAAGGGCGCACCATGACAAAGCCAAAGGAACCCATTTAAGTTCAGGAGGAGGATGGAGGCGGACAGAGGCCCAGCTGACTGACAGCGCGGGAAGCCGCGGCGGGAAGGGCGGGAAGCCTTAGGGCGCCGCGGGTCGGGCGGGCGGGCTGGTGCGAGTAACCGCTCGGTGATCAGCAGCCGGGGTCCCCTCTCTCCCTCCCCATCCCCACGAACCCTCACCTCGCTTGATCACATGCATCGCCGCTAGTGGCTGAAGTGCTGGGGGGGGTTCGAGACCAAGTTGCAGCTCCGAGGCGCTGAAGGGACAGAGCCGTCGGTCGAATGTGAAAGCTGGACTCCTAGCGGCTGCTGGGCGAGGGGACCGAAACTGCGCGGCAGACAGCACTTGCCTCACCAGAACCGAGGAAAGAAAATCCGAACTTCTTCCCGCTCCCGCCACCAGTGACGCAAAAGCGGCGCGACGTAATTCAAATGACGTTTTGACGCTTCCAACGCCCGGAACTGAATAGGCAGAAGATAAGTAGCAAAAAGCCAGCAGGCGCTTCCCTTGGTCGCCATATTGAGTGTGGGCATAAACCCGGACACTGCGCCTCTCTCCACCCCATTGGATGAAGGCGGACCTGGCGGGAACCGTGTCCTGCCGCCATATTGGGTGTGGGCAAAAGGATTCTCCGCCCACACGTATTTTTTTATTTCTTAACCACCCAGAACTTTTTTTTTCCCTTTTTTCTGTTTTACATTCTGGTAACTCTAAGATTTCCGTCTGGTTGGCGCTAAAGCCTATGCCCCGCAAACCAGAGGCAGCTAGGAGACCCGGGACTCTTAGGTCTGCACTTCTGAATTGAAGTATCAGGCTAGGCCAAAGGTATTTGGACTTTAGCCTTACAGAAGTAGGGGTTCGCTGGGCAATGGTGACGCCTGCCTTTAAACCCAGCATTCATGAGGCAGAGGCAGGTGGATCTCAGTGAGTTCTAGGCCAGCCTGATCTACAAGAGCTAGTTCCAGGGCAGAGAGGGCTACACTGAGAAATCCTGTCTCAAAAACCTAAAAATAAATAAATGAACAGATAAACAAACAAATAAGTGAAAACTGCCTGTTGGTGGTGGCTCATGCCTTTAATCCCAGCCTGTGGGAAGCATAGACAGGCGGATCTCTGTGACTTCCAGGCCTGTCTGGTCTACAGAGATAGTTCCAGGACAGCCAGGACTGTTACACAGAGAAAACCTGTCTCAAAAAGCAAAACAAAATAAAGAATAGGTGAAAACAGACACTATGCAGAAAGCAAGACACAGAACATTCAGGCCTAAGAGATATTGGCATCAAATCCCTCTCCTCAGGACTTGGGAACCCCTCAGAAGAGAAAGCAGAAAGAATATGAGACGGGGGAATAGAGGAAACCAAGGTTTGAAACAAGGTCTTCTAAATCAAAATGATCAGTGTTCATGTGAACTCAGAGACTGGCAGAATGCACGGACCTACATGGATCCGCAGCACCAGATGGGGAGGTACTGGGATGAGTAGAGGGAGGGCTAACTATAATCAGAATATACTATGTGAGGAAAAAGAAATCTATATTCAATGAAAGGAGGAAAAGAAAACGAATAGGTGAAAAAAAAAATAAAAGAATAATGAGGGTCCTATTTTATACTTATACAGGGAAGGTATAAAAACTAATTTGGGCCATACAAACTATCTGTAAAATAATGTATATGGCATTCTTGTTTGTTTGCTTTTTGTTATTGTTATTGTTGTTGTTGTTGTTTGAGACAGGGTTTCTCTGTATAGTCTTGGTGTCCTGGGGAACTCCCTCTTTAGACCATGCTGGCCTCAAACTCATCGAGAGCTGCCTGCCTCTGCCTCAGGTGTGCTGGAATAAGTGTGCCACCACCACCCAGCTGTATGTGGCATTCTTTTGCTAAAACCTTTCACTTGTTTCTTGTATCCTCCAGAAGCTCCATCTCCACCCACAGCTCACACTTCATAGGAAGTCCTACTTGAAGCTAGAAGACAGGTGTGGTCTAGGGGAAATGTGCTGTACACAATTAAGTGTTATTCAGACATTAGAAATAAAATTTATGTCATTTGCTGGAAAATGAAACTGGAGATCATCATGACAAGCCCAGCTCATAAAGACAAATATTGCATGTTTTCTCTAATTGGAATGTAGAACTAAACAACAACCAAAAAAACAAACAAGTGGGCAGTGGCCACACAAGCTTTTAATTCCAGCACTTGGAGGGCAGGGGCAGTCAAATCTCTGTCAGTTGGAGGCCAGCCTGATCTACAGAGGGAGTTCTAGGACAAGTTCCAAAGCTACACGGAGAAACCCTGTCTTGAAAAACAAAACAACAAAAAACAAAAAACCACTCCACCAAATTTGAGCCAGCAGCCAGAACTCCAGATTGGTACCTAGCCCATTCAGAGAGGCTACCTTCAGTAGCTGATAGGAACAGATGCAGAGACACATAGCCAAACATTAGACCCTTTTCCTTCTACTGAGTTGCATAGGACAGCTTTGATATGAGGTTTTGTGGCTTGTTACGCCATGCTTGATGTACCTGGAAGACACACTCTTCTGAAGGGAAATGGAGGAGTGGATGGGGGGGGCAAGAGGAAAGAGAGAGGGAGTAGTAGAGGGAGGGGAAACTGAAGTCCAGAGGTATTTTATGAGAGAAGAATAAACAAATATTAAAAACAAACAAACAAACATAAAACTAGAAGCAGGGGCACTATTTGGAAAGGAGAAAAGTGTTAACAGTATTTCTCCATTTTGTCTCAGCTGAAGCTATCTTTGACTTCTACCCTGTGGTGATATGAAAGAAAATGGCCCCCACAGAGAATGGCACTATTGGGTGTGGCCTTATTGGAGAAAGTGTGTCACTTTGAGGGCAGGCTTTGAGGTCTCTTTTACTCAAATTTCCCTCAGTGTGATGTCAGTTGACATCTTGTTGCCTGCAAGATATAGGACTCTCAGCTCCTCCAGCACCACGTCTGCCTGTATGCTGCCATGCATGATGATAATGGACTGAACCTCTGAAACTGTAAGCAAGGCACCCCAATTAAATATTTTCTTTATAAATGTTGCTGTGGCCATGATGTCTCTTCACAGCAATAAAAACCCTAACTAAAACATATCCCTTGCCCTGAAAGGTCCCATGGGAAAGCATCCAACCCAGTTCTAGAAACTCGGGGCCCAAAATGTCCCAGCTAACTGCAAATTTTTTGGCTCTTGTTAAACTGCTTGCTGGCTTCCCTCTGCAACTGCCAACCGGTATGTAGTTTTTCTGTGCTGTCCTTAAAAACTCTGGGAGAAGTGTTTCTCTCCAGGCAGTCACCAGCTTAACAAACTCTGTTTGAACTTTGGTCACCTGAATGGTCTCTGGGTTTTTACCCTATAACAAAGAGGACACCAATATAGCAGCGATTCCATGTTTGAGAATGGACTGGGACCACGGAAAAATTCTAAAGAGACCCCTGCGTGCTAAAAGAGAACTGCTGAGAACTGAGACACTGCAGGTCATATGCTGCTGGTGGCCTCCTCACACCCCCAGAAAAGGCATGTTAAACTGTCTCACAGCAAAGCTACATACTTTCTTGCCTTTGTCTCATAGTTTCCTATGAACCATAAAAGACTACCAGCAAGTTAGAGAACAGGATGGAGTTATTTTTTTCTCCCCAATGGCACAACTATAAATAAATCTATTTCCTGTGACAAACTTCTGTTTCCTAATTTCTTTTGAAATGAGGAGAAACTAAGATGATAGGTTTATAGACCTAAGAATGGATGGGGTTGAGAGGAGGAAGTGAATAATAGCCAAGTATTTGCCAGACATGCATGAGGATGGCAATATGAACTCATATTTTATTCAATGAATATATGCTTTTAGAAAAAAAGATAGGGCCATCAGGGTGGTAATAAGGCATTTACCACCAAGCCTGACGATTATGAGTCCAACTCCTAGGACCCATGTGGTAGAAGGAAAGAACCAACTACCACAAATTGTTCTGACTTCCACATACAGGCTATGGTATACAGAGATATGATAAGTGTACTTTTTTCTCTTTAAGATGGCTCAAAAGTAGAATTGCCAAGTGGGTAGAGTGGCATGTACCTGCAATCCTAGGATTTGAGAGGTGGAGGTAGGTATTAGGGGCTTAAGGCCAGGCTCATCTACATGGCAGGTTCATGGCCAGCCTGGGATACATAAGACCCTGTCTAAAGAAAGAAAATGTTTTCTAAAGGAAAGAATAAAAAAAAAAAAAAAAAAAAAAAAGGACTGTCAGTTTAATCAATAAAAATGAATCCCAAATATTGTGTAAGACATGATTATACTTAAAAAAAAAAAGTCTTCACCTGAAATTCAAATTTACCTAGGTATCCTGTATTTTATTAGGTATCTCTCAGCCAGAGAGCTTCTGGCTATGTGCACTTTTCGTTCACCCCTGACAAATGAGGAATAGTCTCTTTATCTCTTTTATGTTTTTAAGAATATTTATTCATTTATTTAGGCTGGGTGTGATAGCATATACCTTTAATCTCAGGGAGGCAGAGAAAGGCAGATCTCTGCGTTTGAGGCCAGTGACCGTACAGAGCAAGTTCCAGGACAGCCAGGGCTACTCAGAGATGCCCTGTCTCAAGAGAAACAAAAAAGCTATTTTTTTTTTTTTTTTTTTTTTTTTTTTGTGGCCCTCTCGGTGCATGCACACCATAGCTCATGTGTGCAAATTAGAGGGCAACTTTCATATTTGGTTCTGTCTCTCCACCAGGTAGGTCTCCGGGATGAAACTCAGGTCTGTAAGGCTTAATGTCAAGTGCCTTAACCCACTGAGCTTTGTCACCAACCCCTTTGTCCTTTTGTTAAGCCACAGAAAACACAAGGAGAGAGTCACAGCCAGCAGAGGTTAAAATCTCCTACATGCTTTATTGGACTTCAAAGAATCTTATGAAATAACACAGAAAAGTCCATGTGAGGGTGTCCAGGGGGCTACAAGGCAGTCTATAGCCTAGCACCCACCTAAGACCAGCCCCAGCTGCACCCAACCCAGGCCCAAATTAGGATCTTAGGGTAAAGGCATAACAGAAGGGGGCAGAAGGAAAAAATACCTTTACAGCCATAGCAAAAACAAGTAAAGGAGAGTTGTCTGGAAGATGGGAGGTGTGAGGGGAGAAGTGGTCACACAGCAGCCTTCATATACATGTACCATCTTCCTCCACCACCCCTTCCCCAAAATAGTTGTGTCCATTTTGAGCCTCTGGCCCGGGCTATGCAGTAACATGAAAATGGAGTCTGACAAGGGAGGATGCTGTGCAGGCACTTGGGAAATTCAGGAGATTTAATTTATTTTATTTACTTTAAAACTGTCTTTTGGTTCAAATACAACATCCTTGCCCAGGGCTCCACAAGAGCCCTGTGTCATGACTATGGCTCCCATAGCCAGGGGAGCCAGCTGACCTGAGCCCCAGTAGTACTGATGCTTGAGGAGTTTCAGGGCAGCACCTCTTAAGAGACACACTCCTGCAATATAGGGGAGCAGAGGTAAGAGGAAGGCAGAAGTGGGCAGGGCCAGAGAGAAATGGCAAGTGCCTTACAGCCCACAGCTTTGGCATCTACTCATCCTCCAACTAAGAGAAGTCTCTCCCCATCAATACAAGGCCTTTTCTCAAAACTCTGGTGACTTGTTCCCTGGGAGCTGGCTCACTCCCTGAATGGAGCCCTGGAGATCCAAATGAGCTCCAGGATGAGGTTTCCTCCAGCCCATCACACATCCATAGAACAAACCTCAGAGATTAGGACCTTGGCCCAGTCTGGGGTAAGCAAAATGATTATGAATAGGATGAAGAGATTTGAGGTACAGGTGTCAGAAGTTACCCCTCCTATCTTTCCACAACTGGTAGGAAAGTTGGGGAATAATGGGGCAGAGGAGCCTGAAAGCAGGGGACAGAAACAAAAACCAAACCTCAAAATTGGGACAGCAGAGACAAGTGGAGCTGGGAACTGAGGGGACAGCACTAGGACATGCACTGGAGTGGACAGGGTGTGACAGCAGCAGCCATGGTTGGAAGGGTTTCAGGGCAGGCCGGCCACAGTGGTCAGTTAATAAATAATGATGAGTGGGGCAGGTATGTACATTGCCCAGGCACCCTAGGCCAGCCCCTCCATGCCCACTCTAGGGGCCGGATTTCTCAAAGAAAGGAAGGGGGAAAAGGCAGAAAACCCAGGGAAGGACAGGCTGTCTCAACACTGCTACCCCACCCCCTACTTCTTAAGAGGCTTCTTAAAAATTTTGAGTGGAAACTTCTTCCTGCCTGGGCTAGAGTCTGTCTCCTCACCAACAGAACCATTATCTTCCTCAGCCACAGCCTTCTTGCCAGCCAAGTGGGGAATTCGTGTGTTTCGGCTACCCTGCAGGGCTCGGCTGTCTCCAACTGGTGATGGTGTGTCTGGGTCTGGGGAACTGGCGCTATGAGAATGGGAAGAATCCAAAAGTGGAGAGCCACCAGGTGGGCCTGAAGGGTTCAGCTCCACCAGGCTGTGGGCCTTGTCTAGACCATGGTTCAGTGCCAGTAATGCCTTCTTGGACAGAGCAGGGCTATCGGGCAGTTTCTCCACCAGAGATCCTGGGTGGACCCCCTCAATCAGCCGATGGCTGCCATTGGAAGGCATGGCATTGAGAGCCTCATCTGCAGCACGGCCCATCTGAGGAGGCTTGGGAGCCACACGCTGGCGGTCACTCATGTGGAGGGAGGACTCCGAATCGGAATGGGTCAAATCCCTGCAAGATATAGGACAGAGAGGAAAAAAGGAACATAGCATATAGGGAAATGGAAAGAGGTAGAGAAGAAAAAGAGAGGAAAAGTAGGATTGTGGAGGGGAAAAGTGAGTAGGAATAGGAAAAAGGGAATAATGATGAAAAGAGACAAAAAAGAAGAAACAAAAACAAATGTTATTATATACCACCATCATCAGGCAAACAGCTTTATAATGGCTGGGCCCCCTCCCTACCAAGGTGCTACACTGATAGAAACCATAGGCTCAAATGCCATAGGCATCCTCTTCAATAACCTGCCTTCCCATAGCTGGCAAAGTTTCTTAGGACTCAACCCTAAGCTACCATAGCATAGGTGTTGTCTGAATCACCATTTTCCAAGCCTTCCTCCCCCACTTAATTCCATCACACCTGGGATACATGCAGTCTGGGCCAGAATCCAAAGGACAGGACACATGCAGTCAGCGGGCCTGACCAAGACTGGGGAGAAGTTAGAACAGCCTTGCAAACAATCCCTCATTCATCCCAAAGGCACAGTGCCTCTTTCTCCCCTCTCCCAGGATTTTAAGAATGCCATGGAGAAGTTCTGCAGAGTTCAAATCAAAGCAGGAAGTGTGGGGTTTGTTTCAGAGTTCTGCTGACGAGTAATGTAGGGAGGCATAGAAAGATAGAACGTTGGCCTTTAAGGTACAGGGGTTGAGAAGAGCTCTAGATTCTTCTGTGTGATTTTACATAAGTCATCTAACTTTGCTAAGCCTCAATTTTTGCCCAATGAAGACGGTGTCAAGCTAATTATCTAATATGACTGTTTGGAGGAACAAAACTGTTAACAAAACACATGGAAATTGCAAAGTATTGTAGAAGTAAAGGCAACGAAACCAGCCAACCTGGAAGGCCAATATGGGACCAATCATAAGAGGCTTTCTTTGCAGGTCTGAATTATGGGATCATGCCGTTACACATTGGACATATACACAGAATCTAGTTCAGGGACTTGAAACCTTTTAAGGCTTAACTGAGCCCAGGAAGGCCAATCCCAAATGCCACTGCTCCTGCCTCTACCACTGCTCCTGCCTCTACAACAAAGGGGCGAATATTAGGAAACCCTGTCAATCTTGAATCCCCCTTCACTTTCCTAGAGGTCTAAGAGCCCACAACAGAGGCAGAGGAGAGGGACAAAGGAAAGGTATAAACATCCGAGTCAGAAGAGTAGGAAAGGAAACACAGGACCAGGTAAGAAGGAAGCCAGGGGTCAAAGGTTACAAAGGGCACTAGCCTTCTGAAACAGGCAAAAGTAATGGGGTTGGCTCATAGCTATTGTAGGTTTCTTTCTTAAGGAACTAACAAAACAGCAGTTCCATGGGTCAGTACCTTCCTGTTTGCAGGTGGAAGGGAACTAACGCTAGCCCCAGCTCCACTACGACAAATACTGCTTCAGCCACAAAACCTATTGTCTATAAATATTCAGTCTCCTATTTGGCTTTATATTTCTGACACTGGTCCTTGCTTCTACCTAAATGTGCTTTCACCATGTATACATCTGTAATCCCAGTATTTGGGAGGTTAAGGCAGAAGAACTACCCCAAATCCAAGGTCAAAAAGGTACATACATAGTGATCCCCAGGTTGAACAGCCAGGGATATATAAAGATAACCACGTTTCAAAAACAAAATAAATTAAGTAAAATGCTGGCAAGGTACCATACACCCATACTCCTACCAATTGGGAAGTAGAGATATGGGGGCTTAGGAGTCAAGATTACCCTTAGCTACATAGCAAGTTTGAGGCCAGCCAGGATAATCTTAAATAATAAAAAAGTGTCGTTGTTTGTCTAAGCACATAACAACCCTTCCCATAAACATAAACCACTAAGAAAGTGTCAAGACATTCTGAGAAACCACACTAAAAATGGTGGCTTTTTTAAACTGAGGAGGTAAGGATCCTAGAGATTTCTACCTTTATAGCACCAAGGAAAAGAGATAAAAAGGCTTGGACCTCCCAGCCTTACTTCTCCTAACCCACAGTTCTGAACTTGTTCATGATCCTCATCCTTCCATGCCTCCCTCATCAATTAAATGCAAAGAACCCCATAGAAATATAAGAACCTAGGAGAAAGCCTTAGTACATATAAGAGGGGAAAGGTCTATTAAAGCACTCTCACCTTCCCTCCCTGAACTTCTGAGACCTTTTAGGACAGAGTTATCCCTCCCCAAAGGCTAGGCTGCCTTGGACTCCCATCCCAAGCTACTAACCTTACTAGAGAGCCTGTTTGCCTTTAGAGATGATCCTCTGGTGCATGGTGCAAAAGAAAATGAAGCAGTGAACAGGCCAGGTGAATGCAGGCACTACCCACCCTTCCTCCCCACTGCCCTCAGCTTAGACCTCACAGCAGAAAATTACAGCAACCCCTAGTTTTCCCAACCCATTCCAGTCCTCTCCATAAGCATGGTGAGGAGTGGTCTCTGTTCCCAAACTTCCAGATGAAAATGAGGTTGAGAGTGAAATGGGCAGCTCTGCTGAGCAATAATCCTAGTTAGGGCAGTTCCTTTGTGGAAGCAAAAGGAGCAGCCCTTAAGGATAACTATCTAAAGGTACATGAAGCAAAGGTAGAGAGATGGGTAGCCATGGTGAGGCCGAACCAAAAAAAAAAAAAAAAAATCAACAGAATAAGCAGGCTATAGCTCGGCAACAAGGACTTGACTACAGTCAAAATTTCAGGGATGAGAGGTATGTCCACAGGTAAGTCTTACTTGGAGTTCCCTAAGCTTGTCCCATACAAGGTCAAGACTACTACCTCTGATCTTAGCCTAACATTTTGACATATTAGCAAGGAAAGTCAATGAGCTGCCAGACCAGGCTGAGGAGAAGCTTTCAACTCTTTTCTAGGTCACTTACTGAGACCTTGCAGAAGAACAAGTGTCCTGAATGAAAAGTCATGTTCTAGTCTTCACTCTGTCTTAATTATCTCTGCAACCTGGGGAAAATTGCCCCTTCATAGCCTTAACTACCTACCCTAAAAAGTAAGTATTATAATACCTGCTTAAAATTTCTTGTCCCAAATTTTCAAATCTGTATTCCTTCTCCTGTAATTCCATGAAGGCTGTGCTCATTTACTCAGTCAAGCTAGAAACCTGGATGTCAAAATAGAGTACCCCTTCCCATGCCAAGATCTCAGTATTTTCCCAAGTAGTATGCTGCAATACCTCAAAATTCCTTAGTCTTCTCTGTCCTTCCTACTGAAGGAACACTAATATGCTATTTCTGAAGTGGAAAGACTTTAATTTTTATTTTACTACTCATATTTATTTTGTGTATTGCACACATGTATACACACATGGCACAGATGTGGAGCTCAAAGGGCAACTTCCAGGGGCTGGCTCTTTTCTTTTACTATGTGGGCTTTTGGGTTCAAAGTCAGGTCATCAGACTTAGCAGCAAGCACTTGTAATTACCCCAAGTCCTCTAAAATGGAAGTATAGACAATTCTCTTTCATTTAGAAACCCTTTTATGGTATTCCATTTCTGAAAAGATAAAGGCCAAACCTTTTAATTTTCATCATTTTGACCTTATCTACCTACCATTCCTTCCCACCAACATAAATGCAGTATTTTCATTACAAATATATAATATGTTCTTATACCCCCATTCCTCTGCACATAACATTCCCTCAAGCTAGAACACTATTTCCTTTCTCTATGCATAGGGCTTCACCACCAATGTCATCTCTTTGTGAAGCATTCCACCTAGATCCACACACTGTTAGTCATTCCTCCTTCCTCAGTACCCCAGAGCACTTATCAAGTCAGTTTGTAATGTATTTGTGGTGCCTTTCCCAGATAAGACTATAGGTCATGGTTATTGGGATGGCATCTTATCATCTATGAATCCCCATGTTCAGAAGAATCTGAGACAGAGTACATCTGTTTAAGGAGTAAAGGAAGTAAGATGACTGAGCTGAAAGTGCATAATTTAAACAAGTGTTATAGGATCGTGAGGGAAGAGGACAGCTACTCATTTTTTAGAGTCAGAAAACTCCAAACAGCAAAGGGAAGACAGGTGTAGGAAATTAAGCTGACCTTAATAAGGAAGCCCAGAACTGAAATAGGAAAGGACAAGGGGGAAGATTCCCCACCACACCTCCCGAGGTCAACAAGCAGCAGGCAGCAGGCAGAGGCCATGGTAAAAGCAGTAGGAAAGGAAGAAAGAGAAGAGAGACAGCTGATACCCCAAGCTCTCTGAATGCCCAGACATCACAGCGATGTTGTCAGAAGGGGTTGGGTCAGGGTAGGGATCCATCTGGAGGAAATAGGAAGTGCTGTGGTGATAGTAAACAGGGTGAACATGGACGGTGTTGATGGTGGTGGTGGCGGTGGTGGTGGTGGTGGTAGAAGAGGAACAGGAAGAAGCAGAGGCAGATGGAGGGCTGCTCCCGTGGCCTTCAGAACTGAAAGACTGTCCAGATGAAAGGCTACGCATTCGCCGCAGAGATACCCGGCTTGTCAAGAAGTGGCCAGCCTCGCCCTCTACCAACCTCTGAGATCCCAGGCCAAGCTGTGGCTCCGTCAGGCGCTGCCGAACACTGCTCTGCAGGCTGGGGGCTGCAAGGAGAGTAGAGAGAGTATAAGAATTGGCCGACCCAGGTTGGATGCAGGCAAGCAGGTACCCATAAAGATATGCCTGCTAGATACCTCTCTGGACCTTTGATACCCAATCTAGGGAGAAGGACACCACCTCCCAGAAACCTCCCACTGTGGGACCTGAAAGGATGGGAAACTGTAGATGAAGTGCCCGGGTCAGTTTTAGTGGCAACTCCAGTGGAAGGAGACCTATAAAGGGAAGTCACTATAAAGGGAAGTAGCAAGGCAGTTAGTGGGAGGACACAGGCAGGGCAGTATAGGACAGGGACTTGGAGCAAGGTCCAGGAGAGCAGCAAGAACCAGCCTTTTCTTTTTAACTAACCTCAGCAAATAATACACAACACAGACAAGGACTTATACACAAACATGTTCATTGGATCATTATCAATAGCTGTATGGAAGGATATATAAAGGTGGGATGATGAAAAAAAATGAGAATCTATTTCATCTATTTGCCAGGAGACAGCAGAGATACAAAAAGTGACGCTTCTAAAAAAAAGATTTTAAGAATGTGGAAGATACTTATTAAAATGCTCTGGAGCTAGAGGTGGTAGGACATAACTATAACCTCAGCACTTGACAGGTCAAGGTAGGAGGAGTATGAGTTGGAAGCCAATAGACTAAAAAGTGAACTAGAGGTTGGCTGGGCTGTATAATGTGACCCTGTTTCAGAAAACAAACAAACAAACATCAAAACTTTCAAGGGATGAAGGATAACAATTTTGATGAAATAACCTTGAACTTTGTAACACAAAACACTAAACTTTGAACCCAAGCCTTTTTACTTCTAGCTGTGATCCTAACTCATCTACATTCTCATTTCATCCACATCTGTAAAATTCTGTGGGGCTATCCTGAGACTTTCAAGTAGCATGTCCAAAATACCTACACAAGTCATTGTACTCAATAAATATTTTAGTTACTTTTTAAAAATTCACATGTAGAGGATGGAGAGATGTTCTATCTGTTAAGTATGTTCTGCTCTTGCAGAAGATTCAAATTCGGTTCCCAGCATCCACTGAGCAACTCACAACTGCCTGTAACTCCAGTTCCAGGGATCCAATGCCCTCTTCTGGCCCCTGTGAGTACTGCATTCATGTGCACAAACCCAAACACATATCACATAATTTCAAATAAAAATAAAATCTCTTAAATTGACTGAAAAAAAGTAAGAAAAAGTATTCAGCTATGGTAATACAATGAATGCCTTTTAGGGGCTTGTTTTCATTTTTGTTTTTAGAGACAGGGTTTCTCCATATAGTCCTGGCTATCCCAAAACTCACTTTGTAGACCATGCTGGCCTCAAACTCAGAGATTCACCTGCCTCTACCTCCCGAGTGCTGGGACTGAAGGCCTGTGCCACCACACCCCGTGTAAATGCCTTTTAAAAATGCTATTCAGTTTTGTGTTTTAAACTTTCCACATTTCCTCTAATACATACATATAAATGACAATGATCTAGCTCCTGGATCAGTGCTGCAAACCAGGCTTTTGTAGGATAATTATCATCCTGACTGGAGCACCGGGTAACTTACAAATGTGAAATAAAATGACTTTGAGTTCAATCCCTGCTCCAAAAATATTTATTCCTTAAAAGTTGGAGAAAGTCAGAGGTTACTAGGGTGGCAGAGTTTACAAGGCCAACCCATGGAGAGAACACAATTCCATAGTGTGGAGAGTTAGGCAGCAGGGTTTATATAGCTGGTAGCTTTCAAAGCAAGAATGCTTGAAGAGAAAGAAGGCCATAATGGGAAGGGAAGAGGGTGGGGAGTAGAAACTGGGAGAAAAGGGAAGAAACAAGAAAAAGTGGAGTGTTCTTTGCTTTCCTTTCCCTTCCAGCCCAGCTGGAAGGTTCACTGGGACACTCTTGGCTGGGTTGAAGGGAAAGGCCTAAGTTTCCATCACCATAGATGTTTTCTCTCCAGTCCTCAGCTGAGCAGGCTGATTCTTATTACCCCCGAACCCCTCCCTTCAGTTAGTAAGGAGAGTGCTGAGGGGACAGAGGGAGCAGGCAGGGGTGTGAGGCAGGCAAGAGAAGGGGCCCATTGGATGGGAGTGTTGGTTTAGTTCCAAAAGTCGGAAAAACAAAAGCCCCAAAGGGGCTCCTCAAACCCGGGTATTTCCAGAGGGATTGATCATCCGAGCCGCCGGATGTAGAGCAGAGAGAGCGGTCACTGAACCTACGCCCCATCAGCCAGGCAGCATCTAGGGTCAACAGCCAGGCCAAAAGGAGAAGAGAATCTGATTTATGAAGGGTTTTGGCCTGTCTATCAATGGGATACAGGAAGGACTGGGGATGGGGAATGAGTAAAGAGCAGAACTTTCGGAGCTAATGATGGTTCCCCCTAACCTAGAGAGCATAAGAGCCTTTAGATCAATAACTTAGGATCCAGATTTGACTACTAGTGACCCAGTCCTTGGTAGGCCTTTGGCTAAAGACCTAACAAGATATCAGACCAAGCCGGGAATGGTGGCACACACCTTTAATTCCAGCACTTGGGAGGCAGGTAGATCTCTTGAGTTTGAGGCCAGCCTGGTTTACAGAGTTCAGGCAAGTCAGGGCTACAGAGAGTAAAGTTAGGCCAGCTAGAGTTACATAGTGATCCTGTCTCAAAAAAACAAAACCAAAACAAAACAAAAAAGATATCAAATCAAGGAAACAAGAGGTATGGACTATTGTACTTTTGAAAAAATTTATATGATCCTACATGTTTATATTCCCAACACTTGGTTGGGTGAAAATAAGAGGATTATCAGAAGTCACTGTTAGCCTGGACTAAACAGCAAGTTCCAGGATCAACTCATTAAAAAGGACATTTACAAGTAAATTTTGTCTGAAATATATAAATTTTGCCTGCAGGGGAGACAGGGACTGTGTATGGCCTTCTGAAGTGAGATCCTAAATCAGCCTTGCAATCTCCTCTGTACTACTGGTAAGGTATGGACCTAAGATAACACCTTTACCATATATATATATATATATATATATATATATATATATATATATATGCATAATTTACTTAGCTAAAATAATCCCCATCCAAAGAAAAATTCTACAGAATACTGTCCCTTTTTTCTGTGCTCTACTAAGCGTTCATCACCTTTGGGGGAAAGAAGAAAAAACCAGGACAATGAGTGGGGGGGTGGTAGGAGTGCAAGTTTGGTAGGTAGTCAGACATACTTGTACAGGAGTTCCCTCCTGGGCAAGAATGCTGCCCAGCTTGGAGACTTTGGGGACAGACCACTCTAAAGGACTGCTACTATATGGGGTTCTCACACAGAAAGGCAAGAAAAGAGATACATTCTATTCACCTGCTTTAGTAATTAAGAATAAGAAACATAAAGTAAAATAAACACAAATAATCCAAATGCATATTACTTTATACTATGAATAAAAAGTCTCTAGATAAGATTATTATTTTCACAAAGGTAGATAATAGGAGGAAGAAAAAGGAGGGCTAAACAGAAAAACAGAATAAAGAAAGACACATAGACACAGGACAGAGAAGGCATATAGCAAGGGGGAAAAAAAACCACTAAAAGGACAGCTATAAAGAAATATCTTAATGTGAATTGTTTTATTAACCAATGACAGCTGTCTTCTTTCCTAGTTATCCCCACCCCACCCCCATTGTTGTGGCCACAGACTTCTCATCTTGCACACCAAAGGCTACTTCTCTACAAAGAGGTCACCTACACTGCATGGACAAGGGTGACACAATCTCCTCATCCATGTCATCCACGTCGTCAGTCATGATGAAGTGAGCAGGGTTAGGACGAGTACTGCCCATCCAGCTGGGGTCTATGTTGAGAGCAGCCACCAAGGAGTGGATGCCAGGGTTGTTGACTATCTGGAAGCCACAGAGGACCTCAATCTGCTGCCACCGGTGCAGACGCTCCCTCAGAGCTGCCGTCACCTCGCTCAGTGCTTGCCTGAAGACAGATAAAAGAGAACCACAGGTGTACACTTTTCAGATTTTTCAGAGAAACAAATTGGGGTATATGCATGTATGAATAAAAACCACAATAAATTCATAAACTTTTTTTTGTTTTGTTTTTTTAAGACAGGGTTTCTCTGTGTAGCTTCATCCTGGAACTTAATTGGTAGACCAGGGTAGCCTCCAACTAACAGAGATCCACCTGTCTCTGCCTCCAAAGTACTGGGATTAAAGGCGTGTGCCACCACCACCCAGAAAATTTATAAATTTAAGAGCAAAGCAAGAACTGGATCAGGGCTTGGGCAGGAGACCAGAGATGTCACTCCATCCAGAGGAGATGGGACTGGGGTTAGAGGCCTCACATAACCTCAGCCTCTAAGGATGGTCATTGTGGAGGTGATAACTGGTGCTACTTACTTGGCAGTTAAGATCTTATGATCCACATCATCCAGGGAGGAGCTGTGGGCCACATGAAAGGTACCAAACAGCGTGTTTCTCTTCTTTTTTATTTTCTCAGCCTGCAAAGATGACACACTCAGCTTAAAGAGAGTACGGAGTCATGGATGGAAGAAATAAGGCCTTCCTACAGCTGGGTCCCCATCCTCCTAACACAACTTAAGCTTCACAAGGAAAAGGAAGAGAAAGAGGAAAAGAGAAAAATGAAGTAAGGCAAGGGGAGGAAGTAGGTGGACTGGAGGTAACTGGCTGAAAAGGAAAGGGTTCTAGTGTCAGTACTGCAAGCCAGAGGACTTCTGTTGCTGTGGCAGCTGGGAAATCTGAGGACACTTGCCCTCTACACACTCCTTTATCATGCTTTATCATGCCCCGAAGATAAGAGGGAATACCCCTATACTCAATCCCTCATCCCCAAATTAGGAAGTGTATATTAGAAAAAACCAGAACACACTACCAATGTATCTCTTCACTCAAAGGGAGGGACAGGGTAAAGCAGAGAAGAATGGGGGAGGGGCACAAAAACAAGAGTACAGGGAGGAGGGAGGAGGGAGGAGGGAGGAGAGCAAAAGGAGGCCCACAGGAAAGCAGGCCTCACCCCCTCCTTGGCCACCAGCAGCTGCTTCTCAGCATTCTGCTTCTTGATGTTGTAGTACTGCACCTCCACCTCATGTGTCAGCTGCAACCACTTCTGAAGGGCCTCAGGGGCATACCAGGAGCTGTGTGATTCCAGCTCCTTCTCTGCTTTCCTCAAGGCCTCCCGAACCTACAAGGACACAGGAAGTGAGTTTGCATGTTGACACTGAGGCCCTCCCCAACACTCTGTACAATTCTTCACAACTCACAGTCCATACAAACCTGCTTTACAATTCTTGAGGTAGGAGGAAATGTTCTCTGAAATTCAAATCCAAGGAAGTAAGCCCAGAGAAGAAAAACAGCCTACTTAAGGCCACTGTCAATGGTGCCAAGCAGAATTCAAATGGAGACGTTTATTCTTTTTTGCCCCCAGCACACTTTTCTTCCCTATTAAATGAGCTCATTCTCCTGGTCATGCAGCCAGTCTCAGCCAGTCTCAGCCAGCCTTCCTGATCTCTTCAGGAGTATGTCTATCACTGAATCATCTCATGGTGAGTTGGAGTCTATGTATGGGCCTCAAGACATGTGGGCTGGAAAGATGCTCCGTTAAGAGCATTGGCTCCTCTTCCAGAGAACCTGGGTTCAGTTCCCAGCACCCACATGGCAGCTCACAAGTATCTGAAACTCCAATTACAGGGAATCTAACACACTCTTCTGGTTTCCTTGAACACCAGGCAAACATGTGGTATACAGACACAGATGCAGGAAAAATACTCATACACATTAAAAAAAATAGCAAATTTTAAAAATAGATCACAGTGTGGTAGACAAAGCACTTGTTGAAAATATAATTCTGGTGAATGGGTAGAAGAATCTGCAGTAAGAGCACTCTCACAGAGGATGTGTTCAGTGCCTAGGACATGAAGTAGCTCCTAACTGCCTGTAACACAGGTGCACATACCACAGCCCTCTCGAAGAGCAGTCAGTGCTCTTAACCACTAACCCACCTCTACAGTCCTAGTTTTAGTTTTTTAAGAAATGGTCTCATGCAGCTTAGGGTGGCCTTGAATTTACTATGTGATAGAAGCTGGTCTTGAACTTCTGGTCTTTCTGCCTCCACCTCCTAAGTTTACTAGATGTCAGGCATGAGCCACTATGTCTGACATTAATTGACTTTTTAACCCTCTTTTTCTTACAAGAGACTGAATATAGACACTAATAATGGAATCGAGGATGGCTGTGGTGGTACACACCTATAATTCCAGTATTCAGGAGACGCAGGCAGGAAGATCTCAATAGTTCAAGGCTATAGTCTAGTCTATAGGGAAAGAGCTTGTATTCTGAAACAACAAAAAAGAATATAGTAGCCTATAGTATTTGAAAGAAAATGGCCCCAAAAGGGAGTGGAATTATTAGAAGGTGTAGCCTTGTTGGAGGAAGTGTGTCACTGTGGGGGCAGGCTTTGAGGTTTCTTTTGCTCACTCGTCCCTCAGTGTGACTGTTAAAATGACTTCCTGTTGCCTGCAAGATGTACGACTCTTAGCTATTGTCTGCTTGCACACCACCATGTCCCACCATGATGTAATGGACTGAACCTCTGAAACTAATAGAGCAACCCCCAATTAAATGTGTTTCCTTTATAGGAGTTGCAGTGGTCATGGTGTCTCTTTACAGCAACAAAACCCTAAGGCATAGACCAATAAGTCAGACATTTTCAAGGTATGCAAAATTGTAAGGAGTCACTGCTTTTTATTAAACTGGTTTTAGTTGCCAGGCAGTGGTGGTGCATGCCTTTAATCCTAGTACTTGGAAGGCAGAGGCAGATGGATCTCTGAGCTTGAAGCCAGCCTGGTTTACAGAGTGAGTTCCAGGACAGCCAGGGATACATAGGGAAATCCTGACTCAAAAAAAAAAAAAAAAAAAAAAAAAAAAAAAAAAAGAATGAATGGAAAATTTATTTTTATTTTTTTCCATAAAATATCATTTATTTTGATTGGTAAGGGAGTCATATAGTTCTTTTATTTAATAAATATCTAAATGTTTTTCTATTTTACCTTACCTTCCTGAGTGCTGGGATTTATAGGAATAAACTACAGTGTCTGGCTTTCATATGTTTTAGAAGAGCCATCTTAATTTCTTTTTCTGTTTGTTTGTTTCTCTGTATTGCTTTGGAGGTTGTCCAGGAACTCACTCTGTAGACCAGGCTGGCTTCAAACCCACAGAGATCCTCCTGCCTCTACCTCCCGAGGATTAAAGGCATGAGCCACAGATGCCCAGCTAAGAGCCATCTTAATTTCTAATAGTGTAAATATCAACAGTACCACTCCCACAGAAGATCTAAAGTAATTTTTAAAGGTTTTATAGTTTGCTTTACAAAGAGTTAGAATGTGAATGGTCTTGAACAATCTACTCTAGTAAAATTAATGAAGCATGTGTCCCTCATGTAGTGATAGAAACTCATACACATTTGTAAATCAGACTGCAGCAGTTTGAGTAGAGTCATCAGAAGTGAGAATTATGACCCAACTGTCATGGGTAGCACCAGGAGAGGTGATGGTGTGGACCTATCTTGCCTTCTGGTATCCAGGAAGAAAAAAAGAGGGAAGCAGAGCATGCATGTATTCTTCAATTTTTTGTTTGTTTGTTTGTTTTAATTATGCTCAGTTACTAGCATTTCTTATTGGCTAGCTCTGTCTTAAATATTAACCCATAATCACCCATACATGTATTTCTACATGGTCTTATCTTACCGAGGATGCCAGACTCTACTACATCTCCCAGAATCCTCCACCTCTCATAGTCCCACCTAGCTTGCTTTCCTATAGGCCAACAGTGCTTTATTCATTAACCAGTAAGAGAAACATACTTATGGAATAACATCTCCCATCATCCCCTCTTTTCTGTTTTGACTTTAACATAGTAAAATATATAACAAAATAGTTACCAAATAAGAACTATAGTTAACAATATTTAGTCCATTAACATTTAATAAGATTTAAAGAAAATATTCCATCATCCATCCTACCTTTGTGAGTCTAAAGTCTTATATGTAACTTACCTTTAATCCTAACTAAGGGAAAACTATAACCATAACTATCTGTCTTCAACTCCATCAAAGACCACAGAAGGATAACTTTAGAAATGACAGAGACAACTTGCTGCCTGGTCAGTCACCCAAAGTTCTTCTGTAATGTTGCATCTTCAGCCTATAGGCCATAGTGTGTCTGGCAGACTCCTCAGCAAAGCAGGAAACTTTAAACTGTCCACCTGTATTGGCAGTTTGTCACTTTTCTCTGTGTCTTGCAGAATGCCTGGCAGACTCTTCCATGAAGCAGGAACCCTGCAGTAATGTCCATCTTGTTTCAGCAGTCACTTTCCTGTGGATCCTGCATGTTTAGTTTATACAGCATAAAGTCAAATAGTCCAGACAAGGGCAGTTTCTTGCCCAAATGGCTAGTCTTGCCATATTGTGAGTAAACTCCATAACAAGTTTCTTAGATGTCCATCTTCCTTTGTGATGCAGGTGGTGTTGCTAGGAGCTGTTGTGTGCCTCACTGTTAAGAAAAACCCTAAACCATTTTAAATGCCATATTCTGTAGGTCTTTGAAAGGTTTGAAGAATGCCTATCCATTTGAAATATATCTTTATATATCTAGAAAACCTAACCAACCTAACTATAAGCTTTGACTATCATAGGAAACTATCTACAATCTGTACTTAATTATACATTGGATTTTTTAATGAGCTATATAACCACAATACCTAAACATGAAGAGAAATATACATATCACAAAATTGACCTAAAGTTTGTATTAATAAATGAAAATCCATTCCAAAACAAAGTATTCATTTCTATTCCATAATCCCCTTTTTACCTTTAAAAAGAGTTGGTTGTGATCATTAACCATTTATAACCAACCCCATTTAGATGAAAACAAACATTTACAGACACTATTTGGGAATTTGGGTGTTGTTTTTTCCAAACTGCTTCCTACTGGTTGGGGATGCTGTAATACCATGGGAATCCTAAGAAGACAGCAGACATCCTGGCTGTAGTCTGCAAGGCTGCCTTGTCCCAGCTGTTTTGAATGTTGGATAACCTGGGACATTGTTTCAGGGTGTCTTGTTTGATCAAACCATGTTAGTTCAGAACGCCAGATTCATGTGCTCTCTTCCTGAGATCACATCGGGACTGTGTTCTTCATTTTTTTATGATTTAAAAGGATTGTGAAGTCAGATGCTGTACACATAATCTCAGTCACTCAGGAGACTAAGGCAGGAAGATCACAATTCAAGGGCAGCCTGGGCAATATAGCAAGACTGTCTCAAAAAGAAAAGGTAGGGGGCAGGAGCACTATGGAGGATCCAAGATTAGGAGAAAAAATTCAAGGCAGTTTGAACTATAATATGAATTCAAACCTAGATTGATTTCTGAATGTTTGTGTGGGGGGCAGGGAGGGAAAGAGAGGGAGAGAGAGAGAGAATCTATATCAAATTCTTAAAAACTATGCTAGAAATATAGCTTAGTAGTAGAGTACTTGCCTAGTATATGCAAAGCCCTTGGTTGAAGTTATTTTTTTCTTGGTTATATTAGATGATTCTAGGTGAGGGCTCATTTACATTGCTGAGTAATAGCCCACTAAGTATTCTATAATTAACTTTTTCATTTTCCTGTTGATAATCACTTTTTAGAATTTATGATTTTATGAATAACACTACAATGGATGTAGTGTTATTGAATATGTATCTTTTAGTGAGCATAAACAGTCGTTTCTGTTGGGTATATAGTAATAGAGCTTGGAATGTGCTTTAGTGGTCAAAGTGCTTGCAAGCATGTAAAGCCTAAGTTTGATCCCCAGCACTGGAGGCAGAAAAGGGGGTAGGGAATGCTACGTATTTTTGTACAATGGTTGTTCCTATCAATACTGCTACCACCGATGCATGGCCTTTATGTTTTTAGGCATTCTGGTAAACATAATGGTATTTCACTGTTATTTTGACTTTCACTTCCTTAATATTGTTTTTGGTGTTTTGTTTTTGTTTTTTGTTTTGTAGGGTTTTTTTTTTTTTTTTTTTTTTTGCTTTTTGGTTTTGTTTTTGTTTTGTTTATTTGTTTGTTTTTTACAATTGGTCATTTGACTTGTGAAGCTCTTCTCACTTAAATACTTGTGTTAGAGAGATGCAGAGTGGGAGAGCTTGAAGGTGGAAGGCCCCAGCTCAACGGGTCCAGAGGGAAGGTGGATTTAAGCCTAGCTCTTTGTAACAAGCCTCAAACACCTGAACTGAGCTGTAGTCAAAATGGGTGAACCTTGGCATTCCCTGAACTCCTGCATACTGGATTCTTAAGGTGGTTTGAAAGAAAATGGCCTTCACAGGGAGTGGCACTATTAGGACATGCAGCTTTGTTGCAGTGGGTATGGCCTTGCTGGAGGAAGTGTGTCATTGTGGAGGTGGGCTTTGAGGTCGCATATATGCCATTAAATCCCACCATGATGATAATGGACTAAACCTCTGAAATTGTAAGCCATCCAATTAAATGTTTTTCTTCATAAGAGTTGCCATGTTCATGGTGTCTCTTCACAGCAATAGAAACCCTGAGACAGTCCTCATGAGTAAAAGTATAGCTTAGAGTAGTACTGGGAGCTAGGGAAACATTGTAAGATGGAGCCCTACCCTAACCATACCTTTATAAGATCCTGGTTGCAACTAGAAGGAACAGTAAGCCAAGACAAGGTTCATCACATGGTGCATGCCAGAGTAGAAGTAGTGACTTTCATTAGCCCATCTGCACCACTCCACCCAGTTCAGCATCATGTACTGTGCTTACCACAAGGACCACTGCTAAGTCTCAGAGCTGGTGATCCAGGCTCATTCCCACCAACCACTCAATGTGCACAGCTGCTGATTCTGTGCACTCTGACACACAGCCTCCCTGCCTTTCCTGAGCTGAAGCAAGCTTCCTGCAACACTGGAGGCCTTTCAGAGACACTTGATCTCTGTGTCCACACCTGAGTATAAAGACACAGATGGTACTACACAGAGATGGCATGGCAAATCAGGTTCTAAGAGCTCCTGAATCTATATCAAGGGTATTCTGTAAACCCTACAAAGCCACATCCTAGGAGCCCTTGCTCAGTGATTTCTGTCTTTGATACACTGGTCAACAGGAGGTAGAGGTTCTAATTTTATTTTTCCCTAGTTCACATTAGCACAGGCCAGCCATCAACTCAATGTGTAGCAGGCATGACCTTGAATTCTCTTAATCCTCCTGCCTCTGTTTCCTAAGGGTTGATTACAGGCCTATACCACAACTCCAGGATTTTGTTTTGTTTTTGTTTTGTGTGTGTGTGTGTGTGTGTGTGTGTGTGTGTGTGTGTGTGTGTTTTGTTTTGTTTCTGATTTTGTTGTTGTTTCTGATACAGAGTTTCACTGGCTGTATCCCAGGCTGGCCCGGAACTTGGAGTGTCCGTCTTGTCTCAGACATATTGTAAGCTCAGTGGGCCGGCACCTCTAGTTTCATGAGATTTCTTTGTCATTCATTTGTGCCTCTAGCTTCCCCCACCACTATATACTGACTTTCAAATTGCTTAATAGGGACTCATTAGGTATTTAAGATCTGTGTGTGGTAGATTGATAATAAAATAAAATTACTATTAGACCCTAAAAATAAAATAACTTGAGTTGTCTTTTCTTATTTGTAAGAGTTCTTTATATACCTCAAATGTAAGCATTTTTATATGTGTACACACACATACATACACAACATACACAAACACACACACACACACACACACATAAATTGTGGCTTGCCTTTTTGCTTTTTTAAAAAAATATTTATTTATTTTAAGTGTATGAATGTTTTGTCTGAGTGTATATATGTGCATCATGTTATGTGTCTGGTACCCTCAGAAGTCAGAGAAGGGGTTTGAGCCCTGGAACTGGAGTTATGGATAATTGTGAGCCATCATTTGGGTGATGGGAATCAAACCTGCTCTTGACCCCAGTCATCTCATCAAACCTGTTTTGGGGGTGGAGAGAATGTTATTTTGTTTTGTTTTGTTTTTTTGACAGTGTCTCACTATATATGTCTGGCTGGCCTGGAACTTACTATATAGACCAAGCTGGCCTGGAACTTACAGAAATCCATGAGTGCTGGGATTAAAGGTATGCACTACCACACCCAAATGTTTTTTGCTTTTTTATTTGTTTGTTTTTGCTTTCTTAGACTGTTGTGTAATGGAAATCAATCATCAATCACTATATGCAACCTGACTCTCACAATGTTAACTCAAAAACAAAAGAAAACAAAACAAAAAAACAAATGCACAAAGCATGTATACACAATGCCATTCTTTTTGTTGTTTTATATTATTTCTGTCATTCTAAATATTGAGCCCAGAATCTTATGTGTGCTGGGAAAAGATTCTACCACTAAGCCACACTCCTAACACTATATAATGCCATTTTTATGTTTTTAAAAACTTACATATGTATATTGGAAGTGGGGTGGGTGATATACACATGAGTACAGTGCTCATGGAGGCCAGAAGAGGGTGTTGGATCTCTTGGAGCTGGAGCCACAGGCTGTTGTGAGTCACCTAACATGAGTGCCAGCTCCTTTGTAAGAGGACATCCTCTTAACTGCTAAGTCTTCTCTCCAGTCCCACTGATGTTTTTATAAAATTCAAAATCAAGCAAAACTAATCTAATTTAGAGGTTATAACAACAGTTAGTCTTGGAGTAAAATCTGACAAGAGCAAAACTGAGCTTTCTGAGTGGTGCTTACACAGGCATATCCATACGTAAAACTTACCAGCTTGATACTTAGGATTTGTTCACTTGATGTAAATACCTCAGTGAAAAGGGGGAAGGGGTAAGCAATCACTTTTATCTCCCATTATCTGCCATTCTTTGAAAATAATGGTAAACATTTTTATAGCTTTCCCACTGCCCTTATTAGTAAGTCTAGAGGGAAGATTTGAACCAGATTCAAAATGTTCACACATAAAGCTTTCCAGGGGACTCTGGTCCCCTGCCCTTTATACATCCCTTGGGGCATCAGGTATGAACTCTTACCTGCTCCAGCTCTTCCTCAGCATACTTTTGGCGGCTCCTCTCATTCTCAGTACCCTCCCTCAGCTCCTTCAGCCGCTGAGCTTCCTGCTTGGCAAGGTTGATCTCATCACGAAGCTTCTTCTCCAGATGGACCTTCTCTACTTCCACTGTGCGGTGCTCTTCCTGAGCTTTGTGGAGCCTGGGGGGGGGGGGAATGTAGAAAGCTGGAGAAGACCAGGCAAGGAAATGCCAGCTATAGCCTCTCTGCTGGCTGTGCAAATCTGAGCTAGTTAGGGTCAACAGAAACCACAGTCGTTAGCCTTAATTCTTATGTTGGCTATTATCCTGCTGCTAGTACACAAGATCATGAAGCCAGGTTCACAAACATCTGTAACTCACACATTCAGATTATAACAGGTACACATCTGTCCTCCAAGCAGATAGTAATATCAGCCTGGAACAAATATGACTATGAAGAAGGCAAATAAAAGACTAGAATTCAAATCTTTGTGATTTCAAAGTCTGTAAGTATTCTCCCATTTCAAGACATATGGAAGGTTCAATAAATGTAGAAAGCACTTAATGATAGATAAAAGTGAGGCAACAACTAATGGTTCAGATTCCGGTGAGGTAGTGATAGGAGGGAAGTTATGGAAGATGAAAAAAGAATTATTAGCTGAACCTCTTAGACTTTCAAATGCCTGTTCCAAGCAGCATGTACTTGCATGTGTGTGTATGTATGTGTGCTTGAATACACACACACACACACACACACACACACTGGGGTGCATGTTCAAGTAAGGGACAGGACTGGACAAGTCTTAAAAGATTACCAGTTGCCCTTGGTCCTATGGAATTTTCAAGGTTGGTAAGATTTTAAGGAAATCAGTTACAATAAAACTCTATCCTTAGCCAGGTGGTGGTGGCACATGCCTTTAATCCCAGCACTTGGGAGGCAGAGGCAAATGGATCTCTGTGAGTTCAAGACCAGCTAGCTGGTTTACAGAGCTAATTCCAAAGCTACACAGAGAAAACCTATTCAAGTTTACCAACAGTAGACTAATGATTGTCTACAATGTGGTTGTACAATAAAGAGATGAATACATGGTGCTGAGTGAGGCAAAAGAATGAGCAATCAACTGTGTCTGACAGGAGTCAGGGAAGGAAATGGGTAGAGTATATCTCTGCTGACTAGTACCAATTAACACAGCTAGAGTAATCTGAAAGGAGGCAAATTCAATTGAGAAAATGCCTCCATAATATCCAGCCATAAGGCATTTTCTTAATTAGTGATTGATGGGGGAGAGCCCAGCCCATTTCGGGTTGTGCCATCTCTGAGCTGGTTGTCTTGGGTTCTATAAAAGAGCAGGCTGAGCAAGCCATGGGGAACAAGGAAGTAAGCAACACTCTTCTACAACCTCTTCATCAGCTCCTGTCTCTAGGGTCCTGCCCTACTTGAGTTCCTGCCCTGACTCCCTTTGAGGATGAACAATGATGTGGAAGTGTAAGCCAAATACACCCTTTTCTCCCCCAAGTAGCTTTTGGTCATGGTGTTTCATCACAGCAATAAAAACCCTAACTAAGACAAGATCCAAGAGAAAGAATTTACTAATTGTTCTGAAAATGAAAAGAACTGTGCTATTGTCTGGTCTTTTTAACTTATCAGGAAGCACTAAGTTAGCTAGGAACTAGGATATGAGGATAATAAAGGAGAAGATACTTAGCAATCAAGTGCTGGGTTAGCCTGACTGAGGTCCTTGGTTTGGTACAAAGGAATGGGGGGTGGAGGGTTGACAAGAAAGGAGAGGGCAGGAAAGGTGAGATAAGAGGATGAAAGGGAGAAGTAAAAGGCAAGGAAAGGGAAGAAGTAAGAGACCAGCGAGGTAGCTCAGTAGGTAAAAGTGCTTGCTGCTAAGCACAACAACTGAGTTTGATCCCACGGACCCACGATGGTAGAATGAAAGAGAGGGAGGGAGGGAGAGAGAGAGAGAGAGAGAGAGAGAGAGAGAGAGAGAGAGAGAGAGAGACTCTGATGAGTTATTCTCTGACCTCCAGACCCACACCATGATACCTCTACACACACACACATACACACACACACACACACACACACACAGAGAGAGAGAGAGAGAGAGAGAGAGATAAACAAGTAAATGTAAGAAAAGTATTTTTAAAAGAAAGAAGCTGGGCATGGTGGTGCACACCTTTAATTCCAGCATTCTGGAGGTGAGTGGATCTTTGTGAGTTCCAGACCAACCAGGGCTACATAATGAGACACTGTCTAAAGAAAGAAAGAAAAAGAAAAGAGAGGTAGGGTTTAGAATTAGGGTACAGAAAAGTAAAAGATAAGGCAGGTGTGGTAGCATAAGCTTCTAGTCACATAAGTAGTAGCGGGAGGAGGATCAATGCATGTTCAAGCCCAACCTGGTCTACATAGCAAGTCTCAGGCTCTGCAGGGTTACCTAGTGAGATTACCATCCACTACCACCACCAAAAGTAGTAACAAAAAAGAGAAACGATAGATTATTGCTTACTTAATTAAAATGAAAATATCCAAGCATGTGAAGAACAATTATAAGCCCAACTCTTGGAAGGTGGAGGCAGGAAGATAAGGAGTTCAAGGTCAGCCTTGGCTCTAAGAAACCATGTCTCAAAATCAACAGAGAAAAATATGATTAAGACAGGTATAGAATTCAATCTTTCAAAAACAGCAATCCAGACTTGTCTGCGACTGCAGCCCTAATAAGAGGAGACAGTAGTCTACACGTAGCTTGCCAACGAATAGCAGTTTACTGCCTACTTTGCCCAGAGAAGGAGTTAATTGGATGAACACCAGGTGGCGATACATACATTTCTTCCCAACTTCTCTCCTGGCTGATGTCTACTGTCCCATGAACCAACTGCAAGAAAGTGTACCACTAGGGATTCAACCCTTCACAGAAAGGCTCTTGTCTCCAAAACAGCCTCTACTGAAAAGCCAGTATTACCACTTCTTTCCTCTTTAATACAGAGTGCCATTAACAGACTCACTTGTATCTTCACAGACAGATATCAATAAATATTATTGGGTGCAGAAATGAGCAACTAAACATACAATCAAGCACTGTCCTACTCCAAGGCAACAATCAATAGGCAATATAAGGAAGAAAATTAAGAGCCTGATTGAAAGTCCCTGGACACATTTCACCTATTTCTTCATAGCGAAAGGAAACAAAATTCCTGCCTTCCCCAAAGAATTGTTTTAAAACCAGTGAAATCCTAATTGGAATGTATATCTGGTGTTATATTTATTCACCAAAGTTTTGTGATGGTAGTATTTCTATAGACAGGAGGGACAAAGTGGCATGTGGGCTCTGTATTCTGTCAGAGAAAGGCGTGTGTGTATGCACGAGTCCAGAGGAAGGTGTCTGTCTCTTGCTTAGTGCTACAGTAGTCATTAAGCGCTGGAGGCTTTGGGGAGCAGGGAGGGCTCAGAGCTTAAGTTTTATCCCCAAACTTGGAATGTCTCTTGCTTAGATTCTTTTGTCTTTGGAATGAAAACAGTACATGTTTTTCAGACAAATGAAGTATGGGAATTGTTCAGACAGCAGCAGTTAGCCTCTAGTTGGCAAGGATCCAAGAACAAGGGGCCCAGCAGAGTAACCATGAATCATTTTAGAAATTAAAATCCTCTTGCCCCCTAGCAGCCAAGCCCATAGAAATGAATCTGGTGAAGCTGCTAGAGAGTGTCAAAATTCCTAGCTCAGAGGTTAGAGAAATAGCTCAGTACTTATGCTCTACCAGGGGAGCTGGGATTAGCTTCAAGCACTCATGGGGTGGCTCACAACTGGCTGTAACTCTAATTCCAAGGGATTTGATGCCTTCTTCTGTTGTCTCAGCTATCAGGCACACATATGGTATATATACAGACATTCAGGCAAAAGATTCATAGAAATAAAGGAAAAACAAATCTTTTTTAAAAGTCATTGTTCATTGCTAACATGTAACCTTCCTAGCCTTCATTTCCTCAACTCTAAGACAGAGATAATAATAATACCTAACAACTTCAAAGAGTTGTGATTATTAAAAGCAACAATACACTTTTAAAGATACATGGCTTATGGGCCAGGAATGGTGCATGCCTTTAGACTTAGCACTTGGGAGACAGAGGCAGGCATATCTCTGAGTTTCAGGTCATCCTTGTCTATGTAGTGAGGTCCAGGCAAAAATAATAATAAATTAATTAACTAACTGATTAAAAACCAAAAAGAAAGCTTTTTTATAAGAAAGCCTTTCCTCACCCATCCAAAGAAAATGGTGCCTGCTACTAAAAAGTAGCTCTTTAAATGCCTCGGGCACGATAATAAATGTCTGTAATTCTAACATCTGGGAAGCTGAGGTAGGATCATAATGGATTCCAGACCAAGCTTGGCTACACAGTGAGACCCTGTCATTAAAAACAAACAAACACCCAAAAAACTAAAGAAGCCAGGTTGGTAGTGTACATCTGTAATCTCAGCTCTTAGAAATCTGAGGCAAGAGGATTGCTATGAGTTCAAGGCCAGCCTAGACCTGGACTACACAGTAATAATATGTCTCAAAACACACATACATATCATGCATACACACACACACACACACACACACACACAGAGGCAGGGGATGGGAGACACAAACTAGGCTTCTTTCTTTCTTCTTTCTTTCAGGAAGACAGTTTGAGAGTTTGAAATTGGGTCTCATAGCCCAGGCTGACCTGGAATTCCCTATGTTTGAGGATAACTTTAAACTCCTGATTCACCCACCTCCACCACCCAACAGGCATATGTTCAGACATCAACTCTCTTCTGCTACAACCTTCAGATTAATGACAAAGAGTTCTGGCAACTCAGTCACAGAAGTCAATACTTAAGGTATTTAGAGTATATTAGAAAGAACTAAGGGAATAGGATGAAAATTTTCTATGAAGTTATTTGTTTACTTCTTTCTTTATGAGACAGGGTTTTAATAAGTCAGGCTCACATGAAAGATGACCTTGAACTTTTAATCCTCCTGCCTCCAAGCCCAGTTTTAAAAAAAATGTTTTTATATTGAGTATGTTATGCATTTCTGCACACATTGAGTGTGTGTATGCATGTCTGTGCACACACTGAGTGTGTGTATACATGTCTGTGCACACATTGAGTCTGTATATGCATGTTTGTGCACATACCCACATGGGATCATATGGAGGTTAGAGAATGACTCTGACTCTAGGAATTAGTACGATTCTTCCAACGTGTGGATTCTGGTGTTGAACTCAGCATGTCAATTTTGGCAGCAAATACCTTTACCTGCTGAACTACCTTGCCAGGTCCCTAAGTCCAATTTTATGTGGTGTTTGGCACATGCTAGGTATGTGCTCTATCACCTGAGCTATATTCTCACCCATTTTTGTTTTCTTTTTGAAACAGTCTTATGTAGTCCAGTCTTGAACTTGCTAGTAGTCCATGATAACCTTGTGCTCTTGATCCTTCTACCTCCACCTCCAAAATGCTAGAATTATAGACATGTGGCCTCATGACCGGCTTGTTTTATAAAGGAGCCATGAGAAACAATTAATGTATCTATCTGTATGAGAATGGATGTAGGACAAGAAACAGAATGGCCCATAACAAGCCCCTGGGCAGGAACACTCAAGACCTCTGGCAGCTATACATTTTTCCTTTTCAAGCTCAGAGAGAAAAAAGTTTTGTTTTGTTTTTAAATAAAATGGAATAAAAGCTCCTCTCAAGAGGAGTAATGACCCAAAGCAATTGAACGGGACAGCAGGAAGCTAGGATCTCAAAACCGTTCTAGAGGATGGCATAGCCTTTACCCCTATGTCAAAGGGTGTCAACAGGGAGCTAAATGGCTCACAAAACAGGGAACTCCCAAGAGCTGGCAGTACCAGGACTTGGTAAAGAAGCAAGGCCTTACCTTTCCTGCAGGTCATGCAGACTCTGCTCAGCTCGGTGTAACCCTTCCAGGTCCTTCATCATCTTCTTCATGTGCTCCTTGGAGTAACGGTTCTGAATATAGGCAAACCAGCAGCCACCCACACCAATAACGATAGACACCACCAGCATGAAGTCCTTGAGGTGATTATGTCGAGTCACTGCCAAACAAGGGAGGGTATGGTGAGTCGGGGCACCCATAGCACACTTAACTTAGCTTGTAGATTCACTGCATCCTCTCCTCGGTGATTCCTCTTGTGATTCAACTCAGAAGGAACTGATTCTCTTAGGTGCATATGCCACATATTATTATAATAAAGGCTATGCTTCTCCCTCCACCAGCCAATGCCTAGTTTGGATAGGATAATAGGTCTGAGAATAATTTTAAAGGCTTACTAATTCATCCTTCCCTAGGATGCAGTGAGAAAATACTGCCTCCTCGGTATAGCTCAACCATCTTTGGGATGGGATAAGCCTATGCAACCATGAAAATTCTGTGAAATCAAAGACAAATTAGCACACCCTATTTTCATGCAAGGTTGGTGAATTTCTAGGTCCAGGAGGGCAGCCATAGGTGTTTAATTCAGGCTCTCTGACAGAAAATTGAAGATCCTTACTGCAATGGTTCTCAGCCTATGGATCATGACCTTTGAGTCATATAGCTGATATTCTGCATATCATATATTTATATTACTATTGATAACAGTAGAAACATCACAGTTATGAAATAGCAATGAATATGGGGGGGTCACCACAACATGAGGAGCTATATTAAGGGTCAAAGCTCAAAGCTCTAATGGTTACTCTCTAACCTCCAGTAAATCCTGTACTTCCAGCCAAGCTCAAGCTTCATTCTTTTGTCCTCTCATACAGTAAGATATTTATTCAGCACAGGAGTTGCTTTTCTTTCTGAAATGTACTTGCTTCCTCCACAGTCTTTACTAAGAGCCTTTGATATTTTTTGTCTTTCCTGATTGTTAAGAACTTCTGAAATTGGTTTGTTGAGATTCCTCAATACCAACATTACCACATACACATTTAAGTACTAGGACTTAAACCCAGGGCCTCAGGAATACTAGGCAGGCAAGTAACTTATCTTTGAGCTATACCAGAAACCCTTTTCACTTTTATGTTGAGGCAGAATCTCATTAACTTGTTCAGTCTGAGGTAAACTTGCAGTCCATCCCATTCAGTTGGAACCTCCAACTCACCCCTGCATGATACAGAAAGCCCCATTCCTGTCTCTCTTTTTTCAAACCCCCACCCTCTCAGAGAATCTTCAACAAAGAAAAGGTGCCAAAAATGCGCAGTTACACATTCCTGGTGACCATTGAAACTTTATTCACTGTGCTGCCAGCAGCCCAAGTCCCCATCTAAGCATTCCAGCTTTTGACCATACTTGGGCACAAACCCAGCTTGTGGAGCATATGCCATCACCCCTCTCCTCCAGACTATATACTCCCCCTGCGTTAGTTTGGGTGGGTGGCTTCTCCAGCCTCGTTCTCTGGGACTAGAGAACCCACCCAGGAGTTGCTTTGCTCAAATAAACCTGTTGTTATACTTTTTTCGATTTGGCTTGATTTAGCTTACTGTGTCAGCAAATAAATAAATAAATATAATAAAAAAATAAAAATCTATTATCCAGATTCAGAAAACTTCTTACTCCCAAGTACCTAGGATTACAGATCTGTACCACCAAGCCAAACTACTTTTGTATTCTTTTTTAAAGTTGCATTCATTTGTTTATTGTATATTTAATGTAGGGTGGAAGGTGCATATGCCCTGACACATGAAAGGTCAGAGGGATCAGTTTTCTCCTTCTACCATAGAGGTCCTATGAAACTTGGATCATGAGGCTTGGGAACAAGCACATTTAGCTCCTGAGACATGTCCATTAGCCTTCCTCTTACATTTAAAAAAAAAAGTATGTATGTATGTATGTATGCATGCATGCATGCATGCATGCAGATGCCTGTAGAGGTGAAAGGTATTGAATGCCCTGGATCCAGAGTTATAGGCAGTTGTGAAGTGCCTGATATGTATGCTGGGCAACAAACTTAGGTCATCTTCAAGAACAGTATTAATTCTTAACCACTAAACCATTTCTCCAGTATCCATTGCCCCTCACACCTTTCTTTTGTTTTTTTAAGGTTTCTTTGTGTGGCCCTGGCTGTCCTGGAACTTGCTCTATAGACCAGGCTGGCCTCACAGTGATTCCTCCCAAGTGGTGGGATTAAAGGTATGTGCCATCACTGGCTGGCCCCCTTATGTAACAAATGTCTAAAATGTCTTGTTCACATGAGGTTATTAGACAAGCACTTCTTTTTGTGCTTCTAACCTATACAAACTGGATCTAGCTATTTCACACAATCTTTACATTGTCCAGATTTATTTGGAATCATAATCTATTCGTTTGACCAATTTCATGTTCGGAATTCATTATGTAGCTCAGACTGGTCTCAAACTTACAGTAATCCTCCTGCCTCAACTTCAAGGGTGCTGGGAATTATAGGCATGAGCAGAGGTTCTCTGGTATATGTGACCTCTGCCTCCCAAGTGCTGAGATTAAAGATATATGCCACCATGCCCTGATATTCTTTATTCTCTTGATATGTCATTTGATACACAGAAGTTTTAAAATTTGAAAAGTACAATGTATCTTTTCTTCCTGGAAGCTGAAGAGATTTAAGAGCACTGGCTGCTTTTGCAGAGGGCTGGGGTTCAGTTCCCGGTACTCACATTGGACAGCTCACAACCACCTATAACTCTAGTTTCAGGGGGTTCAATGCTTTTCTTCTGTGTGTACCTACGATCATGTAATGCACATACATACATTCAGACCTCCCCACATATATAAAATAATCTTTTTCTAAGTAGTATTGAGGTAAAATTCATATAATACAAATGAACTATTTTAAAATGAACAATTCAGAGTACATTCCCCATACATGTTAACACCAACTCTACCTAGTTCAAAGCAATTCTGTCCCTCCAAAGTAAAACTTATTGCTCATAAATAAATAAAAGAAGGCTAGGTATGGTGTTATATATCTTTAATCCCCGCACTCAAAAAGAAGAGGCAGGTAGATCTCTGTGAGTTTGAGGTAAGCCTGATAAACAACAATATCCAGGACAGTCAAGGCTACATAGTGAAATCCATTCGCTCTGTAGGAGGAGGAAATGGGGGGAGAGGCAGCAGCAGCAGCAGGAAGAGAAAGTGGAGGAGGAAGAGAGCTGGGAATGTATGTCACTCAATGGAAGAATACTTGCCTCGCATATGAAAAAACCTGGGTTCAATTCCCAGTGCCAAAATCAACATCATCATCATTTCTCAATCATCATCATTATTATTAGACAGCAGAGTGATTTTAAGGTCAGCCTAGGAAATTTAGTGAGATTCTGTCTCAAAACAAAATTATGAAATGAGGTGGGGATATAGCTAGCATGCACAAGGCCCTAGTTTGATCCCAGTGCTTAGAGGAAAAGAAGAAAAGCTATAATCCCCTTGGGAAGCTGAGGCAGGAGAGAGTTGTCAAGAATCCAAGACCAGCCTGAGCCATAGAGTCCTTGTGTGGGGCCAGGGGTAGAGGGTTGGAGTCCTTGGCTTACATCTGTAATGCCAGCATTCAAGAGACTGAGGAAGGAGGATTATCAAGAGCTCAAGGCCAGCCTAGACTTCAGAGTGAAATCCTGCCTCAAAAACAAATGAGAGAGAGAGAGAGAGAGAGAGAGAAAGAGAGAGAGAGAGAGAGAGAGAGAGAGAGAGAGAGAGAGAGAGAGGATTGTCCCATCCAATAAAATAGTTTCTTCTCATTCCCTCCTCTTTCCAGTTCCTGCCCACCAGCAATATGTATTTTGACTCTATGGATTTACTGATTCTGAGTGTTCCCTATAAAAATGTAACCTTCAGTAACTAACTTTCTTTCTTTTTTTTTTTTTAGCATAATGTTTTGTTTTGCTTTTTATGTATCTATACTGCAGTATGTATTGGTACTTCTATCACATGGCTGCAAACATTCCATTGCATGTATAGAATACAATTTGTTTATGTATTCATGAGCATTAAGGATATTTTCCCATTTGGCCTTAGACTTACGCAGTTATGGACATGTGTATACATGTACTTGTTTGAGTACCTGTTTCAAGCTTTTTGGTTATTTACTTAGGCATGTAATTGCTGGGTTGTGGTAACACTTCTGTTTAATTTTTGAGGAACCACTAGACTATTTTTTCATAGTATCTGCATCATTTTACATTATCATCAGCAAAGTTGAAGAGTTGCAACTCTTCATATCTTATTTTCCATTTTTAAGAAACTATTATTAGGGGCTGTTAAGATGGCTCAGCAGTTAAAAGCACTTGCTATGCAATCAGGAGGGCTAGGGTAGGGATCATAGCACCCACATAACAAGCTAGGCATCCCACAAATGCCAGTAACCACAGCTCTGAAAGATCTAAGACCCTCTTCTGGCATCTGCATGTGCACACCAGTGAACATGTATAAACACATACATCATACAAGATAAATAAATAAATAAATAAATAAATAAATAAATAAGTCGACAAACAAATTTTTAAAAGTCTAAAAAGAAGAAAGTCCAAACTTTTTTTCTTTTACAGACAGGGTGCCATTGTGTAGCCTGGCTGGCCTGGAACCTAAGCAGACCATTCAGGGATCCACCTAGCTCTGCTTTCTGAGTGCTGGGATTAAAGGTGTATGCCACTACACCCAGCTGAAACTACTACTGTTGCTACTGTTATAGCTATGCTATTCAAGATGGTGTAAAATATTCTTGGCTATGATTCTTCCGCTTATCTCAGGAGCAGTTTTCTGACCTCTGACCACCTTTAATTTTGGTCACACTCAGCATATAAGCTGTATGAAACAGGCCTAGGAAAAAATTTCCATGTCCATGTTACAACACCAGTCTAACCTCTTCCATTAAGGTCCCTCCTGCTGACTCTGATCATCTGGAACTAGCACCATGGAGCCAGCATTCTGGTCCTTATATTAGTTGATTTTTTTTCCTTGCTTGCTTGAGTCAGTCTGTAGTTTCTTTTGCTTTTATGAAGCAGAGTTGAGGTTTGATAAAGATAATTTAATATAGACTTGAGCATAATTGTTAAGAAAGAGGATCTCAGGAAAAAAAGTAAAACACACCCAAGAACAGAGCTGTGGGCTTCTCAAAGAAGAGTTACAGCAAATAAGAAATGCCCAAGTGTGGGTACAGGCCCTTGAGGGAGATTTACCTTTAGTTTTTTTCCCCAAATACCCCAATCCTTACATACACATTATTTCACTACACAACCCAGGTGAGCAACTATGCAATATTCTCCTGGCTCAGCCTCCTGCACAAGCTTGGAGATGGACACCACCATGCCTTTATAGAAATTGTGATCACTTTTGTTCTATCTCAACTCCATTAAAATAAGAGAAAGATGACAAGGCTCACCAATCAGAACTCCAGAGACTGAAATATTTCATAAGTGTCTATTGTTGCATCAAAAGCACATTTAGTCTTTCTTGGCCACTCATGGCAACACAGTTTTCAGCAATCAGTCCCTTGCCTCTGTATAAACCCAGTGATGGTAGGTAACAGCTAAGTGACATTCAATCTCTAAGTGTTACTTAATTGTTTTAGCCTTCCTATTCCTTTTAGGTTGCTTCCTTCATCTATAATGTCTTCTCTTGGAAAATCCATGGAATAAAAGCTTGGTTCCCTCTGAGAGACAGAGGCCACATGCCACCTCTCCTAAATAATGTTTTTTCTGTCCCAGGTCTGGAACACACAAGTAAGAGTACTAGTAGAGAACAATGGTTTTAGTTTGGCTGTGCAACACTTGAACCTAGGGCCTCAGGAGAGCTAGGTGAGCATTCTATCACTTGAACTACATCCCCAGCCTGCGGTGATCATGTTATCCCACTAGGACAGCCTATGATTGATTCATCTAGGTCTTCCTATAGGATCCAACACAGCATTAGCAAAAAGTGAATCTTTCCTTAAAATATTTAATAAATGAGTAGAATAAATGTTTAAATATGGTTAGACTTTTAAAAAACGAATGTTTCCTATATTAACACCAGTGGGATAATGAAGGTGCTGTCTTGTAAGAATGCCTATGAGACCCAGGATTTCAGCCTAGCCAGTCCCAATAGTTTTGGATTTTATGGCACAGCAGTTGACCTCTACACAACACTCACGGAGGGGAGGCCCAAAGAGCACTGTGTCCAGGGCCTTCAGCTGTAGCTTCTGCCTGTGGCTCCGATCTGTCATCTTCAGTACAGTCCCTGTCATGGTGGTATTGGTTACAGCTAGCCTGTTAAGGGAAACAATAGGGGTCAGGTTTGAAACAGCAAAAAATACTCTGGGAGGATTATCTATCTCTTTCAGGAACATATTCAGTGATTGCTCTCCTCTGCACTGTAGAACACTGAGTCTGAACAAGTGAGGTGGGTATTTGTTTGTTTGTGTATGTATGTGAGTGTTTTACTTACATGCATATCTGTGCACCAGATACAGGCAGTACCCACATAGGCCGGAAGAGGGCATTCAATACTCTGGAACTGGTGGATGGCTGGGCCACCAAGTGGGTGCTGGCAACTAAACCCAAGTCCTCTGGAAGAGCAGCAAGTCTTAAGTACTAAGTCATCTCTCCAGCACCAGTAAGTTGTCCCTTAACAGGGAGCATTTACCAAGAATTTGATTACCCTCCATATCTACAATATCCTAAGTGTACTACCATCCAAGGACTAACAATTTGTTTCTCCCATGAGATGTAATCCAGGCTAACTAGTCCATGAGCTTCCAAGAAATTGTCCTGTCTTCCCCTCCGGTTTCAATGTGAAGTGCCGGGATTACAGACATTTACCACCCCACCTTGCTTTTTTCCTTTTCTTCTTCTTTTTGTCTTTTAAGGGTCTGGGACTCAAATGTAGATCAGGCTTATACAGCAGGCGTTTTACCAGCTGAGCATCTCACCAGTGTGATTTCTCTTGTGCTTCTGCTTCCAGAGATCATCTGGATTATTAAATTAGTCCTTTTGTACTCTCTTGTATAGTGCAGGTCAAAACATCATGTTCAATGACCCACTGGTTTTTGGGCCTTCTAACTCATTGCTATTATATATAAACCTGCTTATGAACAAAACTGAGTTAGTCCTATTAGCAAGTATCTGAGTAATTGCAATACAATTTACTACTAATAAGATTAATGTAGTTTTATGACCTTTCATGACATTGATAATAAGACTTTGTTTTATTAAAGATAATAAAATGAGTGAAAAAAAAAACTGGGCTTTATCTTTTTTCCGCTGAAACACAGCAGGTATAAAAGGAAAGTAGTATAAGATACAATAAAGATGGAAAGCATGTTTCTGGGTCCCTTAAGGGTATATTTAATAGTATATTACTATGTACCAATGGTTAACTTTTCTGACATATAGCTTTATTTCCTCAGCTTAAAAAAAAAAAAAGCATCTGACATCACAGTGTGTGGTTTCTACTTCTGTCTGAGCATGAAGAAGTGGCAGCTACTTCTACCTCTGAACTTGGAAAGCAATCAAGGGCATCTACAAGAGAGGTAATAAGGCACCATGACCAGTTGGTTAGGAGATCTGGCTTCTGGTCCTAAGCATTCTCGGCCTGTCTGATCACAAGTTGTTTGGTTCCTCCCCTAAAACCTCCATTTCCTTTTGAGTACATTTTGATTTTATTTATGTCACAAGGTCTCTATGCATCCTGGCTGTCCTGGAACTCATTGTGTTGACCAGGCTGGCTTCCAACCCACAAAGATCCACCTGCTTCTGCCTCTTGGAGTATTAGAAGTAAAGATGTGCATAACCACACCTGGTCTTTTGTGTAATTTATGTAAAATGGGGTACTTTCTGAAAGCCCAGGGATTCTTAAACTCCTCTTAAGGTCACTTCTGCAAAATGGATTTTGTACTGTCAACATACTTCCTACAAGCTATTCTCAGTGACATCAATGAGCTATATTGCTATCTACTTTTAAGTAATGAAAAAGATGCCAATATTTACTAACATTGCCTAATACTGTTTTGACGTTTTACATGTAACACCTCATTGAGCACTGAGTCCTCACAATAGACTTAATAAATAAATCAATTCTCTATGAAATTAGTTGTGTGTTGGGGGGTCATATTATAGGGTGCATGTGTAGAGATCAGAGAACAACTCTTTGGAGTCAGTATTCCCCTTCCATCAGGTGGGTCCCAGGGAACTGAACCCAAGTCATAAGGCTTAGAGGCAAGTACTTTACCCACTGAGCATGCTTGGCATGTACTAAGCACTCAATAAATAGAAGCCATTAGTATGATTCACAGGAGTGATAAGAATTACACACAAGAGAACAGACACAAAGTAGCCTTCATGCTTTATAGCAAACACACATGAGAAGAGCAGTTGTCTACAAACTCTGCTGAGGGTGAAGCCTTACTGAATTGTCCACAGCAACCTGAAGCTGTTCCCTATGCCCTCAAGAGAAAAATCCAGCCCAATTCCTGACCTTGGCATGGCATGGCCAGTAAGCTGCAACTTCCGGAAGGTCTCCTCATACTGAGGCAGCTCCACATATGTAATCAGCCACTGTATCACCTCATCCACGGTCCAGTTGTACACTGTGGAAAGACAAGAAAAAACATTACTCCAAAAATTTCCTTGCTTTGTTGTCCTTTTTTCTCACAGTAGCTGTTTCCTTTTGAGTATGAAAGATGTCAACATTCAAGGAATATATGATACTCTGAAGCAATGTGCCTTGACTAATACTTCTTGTTGTGGTCACACTGACCTTAACTCTTAACATGCTTGTGTGTCTAACATTCTCTTGTCCATGAGATCTGTTCACAAGTCTGAAAAGTGTAGGTGCTGTATGAATCCATGTATATGAAACTCTAATTAAAAAAAAACAAAAAAAAAAACAAAAAACTATCAGTGCTTGGTTTCAGCCAGAACTGACCAGTATAAGAAAAAACAATGTTTTGAGGGGAAAGAAACATTCTGTATCTTGAATCTACCAAAATTCATCAAACTTCATATTTAAAATAAATATATTATGAAGAATAGTGCCTGATGCATTTAATTCAAGCACGCAGGAAGCTGAGGCAAGATGATGGCCTTGAGTTTCAAGCCAGTCTGGGCTAGAGTGAGTATGAGGCCTATCTAGACTACATAGATCAGCCCCATCTCAAAACAAAACAAAATAAAATACCTATATCATCTTTATGTCTCAATAAACTTAATTTTAAAATATTTTAAACTCGAACATGGAGGAATACATCTGTAATCCTAGCATTGGGAATACTGAGACAGAAAGATCTTGAATTCCAGACCAACCTTGGCTAAATAGTGAATTTGAGGCTACCTCTATCTCAAAACCAACCAAAATAAACTAAGCAGAATAATATATGTATTTTTAGATACAGATCACAGAGGTCTGCCTATCTCTGCTCCCAAGTGCTAGAATTAAAGGTTTGGGACACCACACCTGGCAACAATTTGAACTTAAGATTAATGTTACCCATTGGAAAGCATAAACTGCCGAAAATTGATCCTAGAAGAGATTGCTGTAACATTGTCAGATCTCATAGAATTATAATGGTCAAAGGTCATTTTACCACCAAGAATGCAAGCCCCCTTTCCTTAGCAACAGTACTCTGAGTTTGTATTAGTAGAGCCATCTCTCCCTTGCTCTCAGGTAATATGCTTCAGACCAAGCTAAATCCATCTCTAGTAGTAGAACATGTAACCTAAGATGAGCCAACTAGTACATTCTACACTCCTGTAAACAGTGCTTGGTTCTGACATAAGATACACAGAAACAAAACTACGATTTTTCATTGACTAAAAGGGGATAGACTTACCTGTTGAGTCAATTGGCATCCAGGTGAACTGATCTGAAGTACTATAATTAATAGAGACCATCACTTATACTTTATGATGATAGTGTTTAAGCATCTCAATTTGTTTTTTGTTTTTTTTTTTTTTTATTTTTGGAAACAGGGTTTCTCTATGTAGCCCTGTCTGTCCTAGAACTTGCTCTGTAGGCCAGGCTGGCTTCAAACTCAGAGATCCACCTGCTTCTGCCTCCCAATTCTGGGATTAAAAGTGTGAGCCACCACCACCTGGCTGCCACCTGTGCTTTATAAAGAGATTCTATCTTTAAAACAAGCAAACAAAAACCTCAGCTATTCCTCTGATAGTAGGCACAACCATGCCTATGGTTGTTCTCTATCAATCTTACATAAATTACAGAGGTTGGCAATTTGGAAAAAGTCATTTCATTCTTCTGCTTCCACAAAATATGACTACAAAGAAGACCTCTTGAGTCAAACAAAGTTGAAGACAAAACTGATTCTATCTCACTGCCTTAGAAGAGACTGGAGCTCAGGATAAAAGCTCTGATGCTGAGTAGTTTTGAGAGTAGATTAGGAGGTGAAAGGAAAAGATGACAGGAGAGGAAATGAGGCAGGTTTACTGAATGTGCTCCAAAACTACTCCTAGAAGACAAGATGACACAGCCTTACACAAAGGGTACCTATTCAGTGCTGGTTAAATGTTTGGTTCCCAATTGAGAATACATCGGAAGAAAAGAAAAATTAATTTCCAAGAGATACATCCAAACCCCAAGGTTTGAAAATGGTAATGGAGGAAAGTAAAATGAATTAGCTATTATTACTGAAAATGGAAATACATCCTAACATATTACCAATGCAGTCATTTACTATAGTCTGGAATGTCTGGTAATGAAGGGATAAGAATGATACATATGACGCAGACAGACAAGTGCCAACCTGTAAAGTACAGAAGCAACATAGTCCTGTAATTGTGCCAAGGGATCTTGGCTTCATCCAACACAAAGAAGTCTCTCTGCTTGGCATATAGAGTGGAAGGAAGGTGCCATTTTGTTGGTAGAAAAGCCTGAGGCCAGCGGTGCTTCAAGGGCCTTTTGTCTACTAAGAAGACGCCTTAACACAAGTCTGGGCATAGATTCTTGGCATGTTCTAATTAGCATCCTCTATAGACATGGAGACAAGCAAGAGTCACTCTAGACCAGTGGTTCTCAGCCTCTGGAGCAGTGACATTTTGATGGGGTTATCTTTGTTGTAGGGACTGTGCTCAGCATTACTGCAGGACATTTGACAATATCTCTGGCATGTACCCACTACATGCTACCAGAATGCTGCTGGCTATTACAATAAAAATATTTGTCTTCAGGAACAGCTAAATCTGTCCTTGGGAAGGCACAATTGCTCCCCAGCTGAAAACCATTGCTCTAAATACTGTATTGAGGCAGAGATTCTCTAAGAGGATCATTGTATTCCAAGGATGGCTTATGATCAATCACCCCCTATACAGCTAAGCTACAGGGGAAAAAGATAATGGTTCAGCATCATGCCAAGCCTCAAAGCCATGTTTGGTTTGTTTGTTTTTAGCTCTATGTATTATTCAGTTACCCAGGCAGCAGCCCCATCTAGGCAGGACTTGCCCGCATAGTGTCATCTACCTAAAGCACTGCAATCTGAACAACATAAGCCATAATGAGCTGTATCCTTCATTATATGTATCTAAGATAGCAACTCTGAGTTCCAACATGATCTCACTCGGCAATCTAATTGAAATACTAGGGCTTCTTATTTCTTATCCCTAAGATTCAATTACCTAAAAGTCTTTGGTTTTTGTTTGTTTGGTTTTGTTTTGTTTTTTGAGACAGGGTTTGGAGCCTGACCTGGAACTCTGTAGACCAGCTGGCCTCGAACTCAGAGATCCACCTGCCTCTACCTCCTGGATGCTGGGATTAAAGGTGTGTGCTACCAATGCCTGCCCAGCAAGTTAAGTCTTATTCTACTTTCTCATTTTTTGTTGTTTTTAGTGTCTTTGTTTTGTTTGAGGTGGGATCTCATATAGACAATGAAGGTTTTCATACTTGTTATGAAGTAAAGGGTGACTTTGAATTCCACTTCTGCACTGAGAATGATGGGATTATAGGCACACACCACCAGGCTCAGACTGTATTCCCAATCCAAAAGAGAAGAAAAATAGAAACTCTGGGCCAAGCTAGGAAGAAGGCCACAGCAAGAATAGAGTGCTCACTATCAGTAAAAAAAAAAAAAAAAAAAAAAAAAAACTACAGAATTCAGCAAGAAGAACTTATAAGGCATCAGATACAGACCACAGATGACTGGCATATCCAAATCCCAGGAGAACATTAGGACAAGAGACAGCATCCTAAAGCCATACACCTCACTAAGCCTGTCCATGTGGTCCCAAGAATAGCACAGACACCCTCTATAGGCAAAATGATGAACAATGCTACACTGAACAAGAAAAGGCCAAACTCTAAAGCCCTTATAACAACTCTCAAAAGGGATGTAGTTGTAAAGCTATTAGAAGAATCATTTTTATTATAGCCACTGGTTGGTTCTCATGTTCCAGTACACAGCCCCAACCCACGTACATACATAGGCAGCAAACATTGGACTTAGTGGGTTATTAATACAAACAAACATGAAGTTGGAAAATTGAGTGTTGGGAGGGACAAGGGAGCTTGGGAGGAGGACTAGATGAGATCATATTTCATTGTATGCATGTATAAAATTCTCAAAATAAATTAAAGTTTTGAAGGAGAGAGCATCTGTCATCTTTTTTTTTTTTTTTCTTTTTTTTTGTTTGGGGGTATGTTTGGTTGCTTGGTTGATTTTGTTTTTTGACACAAGAGTAACATGAAGCACAAATTTGCTATGTAGCCAAGGTTGGCCTTGAACTCCTGATCCTCCAGTCTCCATCACCTAAGTGCAGGGATTACAGGCTTGGCCCTGAAGGACTTATAAGATATATAATATAAATTTGAGGCTAAAGAGCCTAATTTCCATCTTATCTACCATTGACTAACTGGGGGGAAAATCATTAAATTGATATGAGCTTCAATTTCCCTTTCTGTAAAATATTCATTGTCACTCAATAAACATTTATCTTATACTCTTTCAAGATAGGCACTGGAAACAGAGCAGTAATAAGAAGGAGATCTCTATTTCCAAGTACTGTCTGTAGCTTACAATATAGCAGTATCTATCAATAGTAATTGCTTGTACATACATTTACTTCTAAAAATGGAGTTCACTGGCTGCAGAGCTGGTTCCACAATGAAGTTAACTTACTGATATTACAGAAAACCCTGGTTCAGTATGCACACCCATATCAGAAGGTTCACAACTACAACTCCAGTTCCACTCATGTAGTGTACATACTCATGTAGGCACACATACATATACTAAGAAAGTAAGTCAGAAAATAAGTTAAGTAAGTAAGTAAATACTCTTTTTAAAAAATACAGTGGTCAGAATTTGGGTAAACAGAGATACAGATCCACCAAAGAACAAAATAAGAAGAGCAAGACAGAGAATGACAAAGTGTCGGACATGCGCAGAGAATGCAGACTTCAGTTTGTCTGGAGTTCAAGGTCATGCATAAAGACAAGGAAAATAAGAAGCTACTGAAGCTAAATGATTAGTTCTTGAAAGCAGGTTGTCTTCAACTCAAGGATAAGTCATGGAGGTCATCATTAAACACCCACTACTTGCTAGATCCCACTTCAGAATCTAGAAATACAGCAGAATATAAA